GCACTGAATGCGAACGGATTGGTTAATATCAGCTGTCAATCACTCAGTCTTCAGCACTGACAACACTGACAGATTTAGTTTTAGAAAACATACAAGTTACAAATGATGGCACATCTGATCAGTGATCATGTGCTGAATGTTAATCCAGCATTTACACTTCTCGAAGAGTGGAAAAAATGACTTCCAGTGTTTAAAGTTCGCTATGAAAATGACTAAAGCATTCACCGTAAAGCCGGCGTGACGGAGTTTGCAGGTAACAGCGTTCGCCAAATCTACAGACTTTAAGCGCGAGAGGTTCTGTTTAATCCTTCATTTAATCGTCAGGATGCTGTCAGCTGTGCAGGTGGCAGCTATATGTGAAACGTAACACCACGTACACCATCGCAAAAGGGCTTGCATTCATTAAGATAACTAATAGCTCATGAAAAAACCGTATTGATTTTAAGATGACGTATGCCAATAATAAGCTATTATGTCAGCATTATCTGTGCAATATTACACAGCACCCGTGAGATCAGCAAAGTTATTATCGTTAACCAAGTTTCATTCATGTCAAGCAGTGTGTGCATGGCCGGTGGGCGCATGCGGATGACGTTTTGTTTGTTTTTTAGATTGTTTAGTGTTGATTTCAAATGCAGTAAATCGGATTATATAACATTAAATGTTGTAGTAAAGGTGCTTATTTTGGCTGGTGCTCCTAACTTTTTGAAGTTAGGAGCACCAGTGCTACCAAGCAAAAAGATTAAATTTCGAGCCCTGCTTGGTTCAGCCTGGGAAAGTTTGAAAACCATGACAGGCCTCCATAATCTAAAGAGTCACAACCAGATTAATTTAGCAGGCTAACACACTGATTTAGAGTTAGCCAATGGCCTTAAACAATTTTATAATCGTTTCAATAATTTACATTTCACTAGGGAAATTGAGGAATAAATTGTAAACTTACAGGTGGACAGCATTTTAGCGTACAACAGTCAGATGTACATAAAGCCTTCCTCTCAGTAAGAGTGAACAAGAGCAGTGGACCAGACAATATTTGTGGTCGCATACTTAAAATCTGTACAAGAGAATGCAGTCCAGTTTTTTGATTACATTTTTAATAAATCGTTACTAGAACATAAGGGGCCTCGTGTATCAACGCTGCATACGCACAAAAACTTTGCGTACGCCAGGTTTCACGCTCAGAATGGCTCACGTTTGGATTTACTAACAATGAACTGAACGTGGGAATGTGCGCAGCTTCACGCCAGCTTTATGGCTGGCGTACGCACATTTTTTGTGCGTGTCTGTTTTATTTCCATTGGCGACTCCTAGAGGCAGTTGTGTTAAATTCTTCTCTACAAAGTGTCTGAGCCTTGCAATGGCAGCTGTATGAGACGTTCATGCTCGAACGTGTCAAAACATGTTAACATGCGTTTTACGAGCTGCGCCACTGAGACTGATGAGATTGCTATAACATTTTACACATATAAGTCACACTATTTCTCTTTTAACTACACAGTGCGATGTTCAGACCCAACTGTGTTAACCGCATCAGCTAAACTCTCCCCACTCTATTTTTTTCTTTTGTTGTTAATTCCGGAGAACAAACTTGCAAATAACACTGTTTTTCTCCTGTCTACCTCCGAAAGCAGCACCTCCAATTCACATTCTGTTCAAAGTTTCTCTTCTTGCTTGCTTTTGCCATTGCTTTTTCGTTGGGTTTTGTCAAAGTAGAGTCATTAGCATATTCATAAGGGGGAGGAGGCAGGGAGGGGTTTTGCGCTCGTGCATGTTGCGCTCAGTTTCACGTTCATTCGGATGTACAAAAGAATATGCATGGGATTCGGCGTACGCAGTGTTTCATACATCTGCATTTTTTTCTGCATACGCAATGTTTTAGTATAATTTCCACACAAGTCTTCGTACATGAGGCCCTAGGTACCTAAGGTTTGGAAGGATGCTGTGATGGTCCTTGTTGCCAAATCCAACTCCCCCTAAACTTTTAATAAATTCAGACCCATAGCCTTAACATCAATTGGGATGAAAATTTTGGAAAAGTTTGTAAGGTCTGAAATACTCAGAAGAACAGGAGTACGCACTTGATCCCATGCAGTTTGCCTACAGGCCACATCCGTGAGTAGAGGCTGAAAAGTAACTTTGTTTAACCTACTTTTTAAACATTTGGAAAAAATGGTTCCCATGCCAGACTTTTGTTTGTCGACTTTTCCTTTGCTTTTAACACAATTTAACCCTATATTTTAATTAGTAAACATCAGGAACAGTTTGACCTCAGTAATAACCTCATGTATCAACGATGCGTACGCACAGAAACTTTGCGTACGCCAGGTTTCACGCTTACGTTTGGATTTACTAACGACGAAATTAACATGAGTATGTGCGTTGGTCCGCGCCAACTTCATGTCTGGCGTACGTGCATTTCTTGTGTTTGTTTTATTTCCATTGGCGACTCCAATGTATGTTAAATTGCACGCAACAAAGTATCGCACCAACACGTGAAAAACATTGCTAATAATTTATAATAATTGGCACAATATTTTTTTTACCAGTTATAACGTGATTTTAGTACATATAAAAGCATTTGCAAATTTAAACAACCCTTAGTCTATGGCAATGGCAGTGTTGGCCTTATAAGAGGACATCGTCAATGGTCGAATCCGAAGGGAACGCATTTGTTTGAGATCACAGTAATTTTCTGGCCCACGATGATGACTGGCTTATTAGCGGTTTCAGATTTTCAGGAGCTATCCTCAGTTCTGTGCTGAGTCGGGTCCAAATTTGGAATGATAGACAGCGAGGAGGCTCCAAGGTGGCAGGTTGGGGATGGGTGGCTTCTTGGTGAGTGATGTATTTAAAGATATTAATCCAGAAAAGGTTTTTAATTTTAATTTTATTGAGCGTAATTATTTAACTGCATATCAGGAGACTGTGGTTATCCATTATAGATGTGGCTGTTAGCTAGGGCTGTGCAATTATTCGAAAATCCGATTTCGGCGTCTAACGATTATGAAAAAGCATTAGTCGAGATAAAACGATTATTCCATCACATACCGCCCCCTTTCCAGTTGTACACGTGTTGTTTGTTTGTTTGTTTGTATACTTTACTGTCCCTCAAGGGGAATTTTTTTTTGTAGACTCATGTGGTGTTCGGCAAAGCTCAGTTCCACGTGAAAGTGACTAAAAGCATGTGCTGTTGTGTGTTTGCACCGCACTTAGCCTTGGACAGGTATCGTGTGTGTGTTTGCGCGTGCGCCGCGTTTAGCCTTGAACAGCAGAGCACACACACATCTAACGCCATCTTAATTCGAGCGCTTTAATGGTCAAATACATGCACATTTGTGTCAGAGCGCGGTGTTTAGTGATTATTTATATTAACCCTCATTTCATTTGTGTAATAAACAAACAAGTTGAGAATCAAAAGACACGAGAAAGAGAAACCATATCAGAGCCGCACTATTCTTAAAGTGACAGCGTGCAATATTCCTGCTGCTGCCGACTGTTTTTATTATTAATCAATAATAAAATCAAAAACACAGTGAAGATGCTTAAAGCACAGTTTAAACAACAGATTTAATAACTCATTTCTAATAACTGATTTCTTTTATCTTTGCTATGATGACAGCACACTATATTTTACTAGATATTTTTCAAGATACTAGTATTCAGCTTAAATTGACATTCAAAGGCTTAGTGTAATTAGGCAAGTCATAAACTTGCCTAAAACAACCCACAAACTGACCAAGAGCGCAGATACAATGATGGCCATTCTCGCACTCGTGTTTATCTTTACGAAGGGCGGCGGCCACAGAGATGCTGTAATGCTAGTAGCAGAGAAAGGTAAAATGCTACTAGCCAGAATGAGTTTAATCTGTTTCTCAAAGAGAGGAGTGCTTACATATAACTCATGATTGAATATGGTTTATGATTATCATGGTTAAAATTATTATTGATCAAAACATGAGAATAAAAGAAAACTGAGCTTCAGTCTCTATTTTTTTTTTTTACCTTGTCAACAGAAAGTACAAAATAATTTGATTCTTGTGCTTGTTCAATGAATCAGATCAACTGTTCAAAGCTTTTCATCATTATTGTTCTTCAGGCTTATTAATGAAAAATCAGGAGTAAACACCAACCTATTTGTTGTTCAGTATCTTCAGGTTTAATTCTGCAGGGTTCTGGATCACTCATGTTCTCGCTGTCCTTCAGTAAACTCTTCACTTGAGTCTGATGGGAATATTCCTGCATTTATAACAGAAACATTTGCATTAAATATTCAGTATATAATTAACAATCATAACCGTTTCTGAAACATCATTAATTGTATTAAAAACATACAAAATACAACAACACTGATAAAAAGTATTTAAGTATTTCAGTCTTATCAATGATAAATATTGTCAAATTCCTCCAGAAAACACATTTTCTAAACATTTTCCTCAAAATATTTCCTGAATTAAAACACTCTCTAATATCATTTTAAAAATACATCCTATTAAAATATGTTTTATCACCAAAATATTCTCACACAAGCTACAAATAGGTGTTTCTCCCCTGTTCAATAAATGTGTGTGTAAGTCTTGAGTGGCCGATTCTACATGTCATGTGTGCAGCGTGATCATGTCTCTGATTGTTTACATTTATCTCTCAATATTTTAATGAATTAAGTGTTTTATATTATTATACTGATCCCAAATTCTGTTTTACTGCAAAATAAAGCGTTTGCGTCTCTTCAAGAGTTTACACAAGCATATGTTCAGTTAAACAGTCAATATTCAATATAATCAGCATTAAACTACCTCTTAGTGAATGAATTAGATGGAGACACAAATGAAAGGTGTCCAGATAACCCGTGAGTAAGACATTACAAGAGTGTTTACAGCGTAGCATCGAGCTAAAAACAAGAGAGTATATTAGCATTGAGCACATATGTTAAAGCGGTTCAAACCGCAAGATAATTCCCGCAAGTCTGCGAACGCTACTGTGGTCAGATATCATACACTTACTCTGAACAGACGAACAACACCCGTAACAGAAGAGGAAATAAGCACATTAAACGTCAAACAGCAAAGTTCTGCTCTCTCCGATCTCCGCCTCACAATAAGCGCTGTGGGCGGGATGTTTGCCTGCGCGTTGATCTGCGAAAGCTGATTGGCTGCCTGTAGCAGGTTCTGAGAAAGCTGAAAGTCTGTAGGTTCAGAGGAATTGCGGGTGTTCAGTCAGGAGAAATAGTAAGTGGTTTGTTTTGGTAGTGCACCTGTTATGAAGTGTTTCGGGTTGACTTTATATTTTCTTAAAAATGTTTTAACTGCGTTAAGCGTTTTAGAATGTAGTAACTTAATTTAGCTTAGCATTAGCTTAATTTTTAACTTGCTTTCATGTGACCGAGTCAGGGCTAATGTTATATTTCAGTCAGGATAGCGTGAAATTTGCATCTTAATCCCTTTATCCTGGTTTTGTGAGATACACTCAGAAAATATGAACTGATAAAGAAAGTAAGAAACATAAATAAGGAGGGTAACATATACCCATGAGAAGAGTTTAGTTGACACCGTGGTAATGCCCACTATCAATCTGAGGTAAAACTGGCCTGTAATATCTAAGTTTTATTTTAATCTTTTTTTTTTTTTTAAATCAAGGCCAAATCAAAGGTTTAAAGAGCTTTTGTTTTAGAATGTCACATCAGATGTCCATGAAAAAGGTTTAGTGGACACCGTGAGAATGTCTACAATCTAAGGTGTAGCTGATTTAAGATTTAAGACATAAGATTTTAATGGCTTTTATTTTGTAATTACGGATAAAGCAATCTTGAAATTCTGATTATTTATTTGCATTCATTTCTTGTTTTTCGTTATTTAATATTTTATCATCAGTCAGTGAGACGCTGATCTATCATAAAAAACATGCATTAGTTTGAACATGAACCGTTCAAACATGAACAGTATTAAGTTTTTAACGCTCTACCATAATACGCAGTGTATGAGCGACCACAGAAATACGTTGGCAGCTAGAATGACTGTCAGATTCTAGAAAATCAGATTCTCAAGGCATAGGGGCCTACTCATACACCGGCGCAGTAAGGCGCAAGATGTGTTTGGAGTGATGTGTTGCTATTTTCAGACCAGCGCAACAGTAATCTTCCCGTTATGCGCCACGTTGTTTAAATAGTAAATCCATTTGCGCCACATTTTGCTCGTTCTTTATTCTCGCGCTGCAGATGCTCTGTTTAACTGTTTTCTCGCTATTGAAGCTTCAGTTTTTCCACTTCCAAAGTCCAGCATGTAAATAGCAAATGTGCCATGGCGATGCAACTAACTCTTTAAGGGAATGGGAGATGAGACTCCGATTGGTTTATTTTCAAAACACACCCATAACTCATTACGAGGATAAGCACAACCCTGTTAGACCATGCGTCGCGGCGCTTACTGTATTCTTCCATCCTTAAAGTAGCAAAAAGGGAATTCGGACACACCCTTAATGCTTTTGTGCCATGTGATTTAGACTTTGCACCAAGATTGTTAATCTTTAAAATAATAACTTGTATTAAAAACGTTGATAGAGGTTTGCGATACAGCAGAGCACTAAAAATGCGTATTTGCCCTGGAGCGATTGATTTGTCTGGCAACACAACCAGCATATTCCATCACCTGAAAACCCTGAAAGTTTTACAATTAGTTTGGACTTGCTGGAAGTTGTAGTGTATATTTTTGTTTATGTTTTGCACATTTAATTCACCTCGTAATGCCGGACCTTAAACAGATTAGTCTTTTTAAATGTATTTTTCTATTTGTTTTAATTTAAGGCCAAATGTGTTTTTGGTAATAAACAATATTTTAAATTGTGATTTAATCAAACGTCTAATTTTTGTTGAATCAGTCATTGTTGGGATAATAACTTTTACAGCTGGAAGCATCAACAACTTATGTCGAAATTTTGCGATATATTGGTCAATATGAAAAAAAATTTGAGTTTGCATTTTTGCCATATCGCCCAGCCCTACTCTTCCTGTGTGTATGATGGCGTGTTGATTGCTGAAACTCTTCCCACACTGAGAACATGTGAATGCTCTCTCTAGTGTAGGCATGGGCTAACACATAAGACTCTGACGATATGATAACTTCGGATAATCATATCATGGTTTGACTGTATTGTGATTACTGCTCTAATATACGCTCTTCTTAAATGTCTGGGTGAAGAACTAACACTTTTCCCCCTTTGAACACAAAATATTTTATTTTGAGAAACATTTAAAATATTGTGGAGCAGTAAACATGTCAGGCTGAATAATTCCAATGAATCATTGACTTCTGCTGTCTTCATTAGTTTCAGAAACACAGATTTATTTACAGTTTAAAACAGCATTTTAGATATCTTTTCTGCTGAAGAAACTGTTGTACTAAAAAACTAAAAAAATCACAATAAATCTGTCATATACCACAGGAACAGTATAGCAGAATATTTTGGCAGGTTTAAAAATTTGACTTTTACAAACCGCAGTATACCTAAAAAATGGTTATCATTAGGGCTTGACATTAATACCCGCCAACCTGCCAAATGCAAGTAGATTTCCCCTGTGGCGGGTTAGACAGCCACTACCACTAGCCACTTTGTCTGGTTGAAACATACCTTTAAATTGTAGTTTTCTTAACTGAAGGGTTCGACAATAAAGACGACCAAATATGCATGCAAATACGATCTTAGAATGGAGAAGCAGCACGACTGACAAAAGTAATTGTGTTTGCGCGAGCAGGTTAATACCGAATGAGAGGATCATTACTCGCGCACAGGTGATGTGATGCGCGCAACTGTTTAAAACATGTGCGCGCTCCCGTTTCCTTGCGTGAAGCAACTGTGCCTGGAAACGCAACTGATGCGATCGGTTCTCTTTCAAGTAGACTAGACAAAAAGTGATGCTCATGCACCCACAGTCTTGCTGCTTTCAAGAGCTCCAGATTTGTCTTTTGGTAAGCAGCACCGACTGCTTTCACTTTAACCAGTCGTTGAGCAGATTAATAGGCCTAGCATTAACCTTATATGTGATCATCCTTTCATTATCACACACTTAATCTTTTTCACCTGCTTCCTTTTGCTTATTTTTGTTCATACGGTTTCATTATCATCTTTCAAAATAACATTGCTCTAATATGAGATTAGCTCCCCATTTAGGTGTAGATAACTGATCTGGGACCTTTAGCCAGGACAGATTGCAGTGCATAGTTTACATACTATTTTAAATGTCAATTGTTTATTTATGTAATGTTTTGTTCAATAAAAAAGTATAGTATACAGAAATGTTTTGCTTGTTTTGACACATTTAAAATTTGTGGATAAGAAATAATTATTTATGTTTGGTGTGGTCAGAGAAAAATTTGGTGAATCCTTAATTTGAGCTCCGTAAAGTCTTGTGAAGTAAAAACATTGTAATACAACACTATGAAACCCATTTGCTCATACACAACACATGAGGAGGCATGTGCACATAACACAAAATCTAAATCAAGTAATTTTAGCATGTCAAAGTCATATTTATGCGTATTAAATATTTTTCCCAACAATAAAATTGTGGCTAGTGAAAATGGCGAGTGCCTAGTAATAGGTGCCTACTAGCCACAGTGGCTGGTGATCAAAAAAAAAAACAAGTTAATGTCAAGCCCTGGTTATCATCCCATGCCTACTCCAGTGTGGATCCTCATGTGTCGATTAACGGATGATGAATGGCTGAAACACTTCCCACACTGAGTGCACGTGAATGGTCTCTCTTCAGTGTGGATCTTCATGTGTTGATTAAGGTTGGATGATCGACTAAAACTCTTCCCACACTGAGAACACGTGAATGGTTTCTCTCCAGAGTGGACCTTCATGTGTATATTAAGGTTTGATAAGAAGATGAAACTCTTCCCACACTCAGTGCATGCGTATGGTTTCTCTCCAGTGTGGATCTTCATGTGTTTATTAAGGTTTGATGATTGGCTGAAGCTCTTCCCACACTGAGTGCATGTCAGTGGGTTCTCTCCAGTGTGGGTCTTCATGTGTTTATTAAGGTTTGATGAGAAGATGAAGCTCTTTCCACACAGAGTGCATGTGAATGGTTTCTCTCCAGTGTGGATCTTTGTGTGTTTATTAAGGTTTGATAATTGGCTGAAGCTCTTCCCACACTGAGTGCATCTGAATGGTTTCTCTTCAGGATGGATCTTCATGTGTTTGTTGAGGTTTGATGAATGGCTGAAACTCTTCCCACACAGAGTGCATGTGAATGGTTTCTCCCCAGTGTGGCTCCTCATGTGTTGATTAAGGTTGGATGATCGGCCGAAACTCTTCCCACACTGAGTGCAGGTGAATGGTTTCTCTCCAGTGTGGATCCTCATGTGAATCTTAAGATTGCCTTTTCCTTCACAACTCGTTCCACACTGAGTGCAGATGAAATGAGTCCTGTCTCTTGGTTTCAAAATACTGCAAGTCTGTAAATGATTTTTTTCCTCAATTTTGACATGATGTTCCTCCTCTTTACTCGCCTCATTTTCTTCAATTAGGTCTGAAATAAAATTTAAAAATCAGCTTTTTATTAAGTCTATAAAACTGTCATTAAAAGCTGTAGTCAAAAGGTAAAATCATTTGCGACACAAGCTGTAATTTTGATTTGAATTCTGTTGATCATCAGTTACAGTGCAAAAAAGCTCCATTTTTACATTGTATATGGAGTATAGTGTGAGTATGAGAGAGAGTGTGTGTATACAGTGAGTCAGTTTACATGGACACCAGTAATTCGATTTAAATGTAATTAAAGGGTCACGAAACACCAAAACACATTTTTTGAGCTGTTGACAGTCGTATATGTGTCCCACACTGCTAAAAACACTATTAGGACACCTATATTTCACTAAAAAGTGTAAATTGGTTGTTTTTGCGTTATTTCAAGCAAATTCGTACTTCCTGTTTGAAACGAATTTTTGAAGCTGCGTCACGGTCATGACATAATAGCGTGTATTCCAGCGTGCAGACTGGACGCCTGTGCCAGAGTGAGTCTTATTACGTCTTACAGTGTGATGCATTAATGCATGAGTAAGGCTTGGTTCAAACCAATCAGCGCGCTCTACTGAGCAACTTCATTAATATTCATTTGTGTCACCGTGCTTACACCACAAAGACGCCACGTTGTGTTGGCAAAACAAGCGTGAAGTGTTGCTTTTATAGTTTTCTGCAGTTAAGTTTTGTTTTCATTTTCCCTCTGTGAGAGCTTATCTGGATCATGTGTGGATTAACAGTGTACGCGACGCTCGACAACAATAACTTGCGTGTCTAAGGAGGATTATTGTTTACCTGAGAGCTGTTCTCATCTGCAAACGCTGAAATCCGGATTCGCTTGTTGTCTTCTCTTAATAAAGACGCGGCTCTAGTTGCTGGTGATTGTCCTGTCTCTACAGATTTGGTAAGTGAGCGACCAGTGCTCTTTGTTTATTCAGTTTGTTCGTATCGAATTAAGTTAACTATAGCACTGAGTGCAGAAATGTTAGCACCGCATTTTGTGACCGGAATAACACACGCGGCTTTCTGACGCTACCTGCCGTGTGCATCTAAGTTTCCGGGAAATGCGGAGTTTTTTTTTTTTCCTCTCATTCACTGTGCGGTATCAAACATTGCATGAAAAATACACGCTTAGAGCAGATCCTCGAATCAAATATCTCGTTTGTCGCGAGGGGCATAAATGAATTCCCTGAATGAAAGAGCCAAACTGCAGTTAAAGTCCACCATTTAATAATTTGGCAAATAATTCGACTACAGATGTCCATGTAGGTTAAACACCATCACTTTCTCCTGTCTGTGTGTGTGTGTGTATTTTGACTCTGAAACTCACGCGTGCACAAATAGACACTCCCACACTATCCCACTTTAGTTCCTCCGACACTCCCCCCTAAACAGAGCTGGACACGCCCACTTTTCTGACTTTTTCCAAAGTAGAGGTGTGAAAACACCCTGCTGAAACGAGAGGGTTTCATGGCCCTTTAAGACAATACTCGACCATGTAAACAGCATTTTTTGATTCATTTAATCTGATTAAGGTCATAAATGAACTACAGAGAAATCAAATTAAGACGTGGAGTATGCTGCTTTGTTACATTGATCAAGTGCAGTACAGACATGTAAACAC